ACATCAATGATGAGAGAGAGTCATTGATCGGCTGCCTCCTGCACGCCCCCCACTGGGGAATGAGCCCGCCACCCGGGCAAGTGCCCTGACCAGGAATCGAATCCTGATCTTCTGGTTCCTAGGTTGACGCTCAACCACTGAGCCACACGGGCCGGGCCAATATACAATCTTGCACAGTGTATGAGTGTTCCTCAAAATGTTAGTCGTGTCATTGCCCTTTACAACTCTCAGACCCTGCGGCGTCATCTGTAGTTAACAAACTTTATTTTCTACCTGCAAGTGAGACATCAGAAGAGCAAAGCCCCAGCTGCCCGCGGGGTCGGCCCTGCCACTCTGCAGGGGCCGCTGTGGAAGTGTCGCCTTTTGCTGTCCTGAGGCCACATTTTCCCGCTTGCCACCTGCTTCCGGCTGTAGCCAGGCCACGGAGGGAGGGGCCTGAGGCCTAGTTCCAGGTCTCTACCGCCGGGAAGTGCAGCGAGGTTTGCAGAGAGTATGCGCCACTGTATGCACAGAGGGAGTGAGATCGCCCACGGCTCCCTCAGGAGTCATTTCCACCCAGGGCCCCTCTGTAAGGGGGAAGGGACTTTAGCTTCTCTTGGGACCCCTGTCCGGATAGCTCATGTTTGATTAAAATAGCATGCGTCCCGCCGGTGTGGCTCAGTGGTTGAGCGTCCACCTATGAACCAGGAGGTCATGGTTCGATTCCCCGTCAGGGCCCAAGCCCAGGTTGCGGGCTCTATCCCCAGTGGGGGGGCCTGCAGGAGGCAGCCAATCAATGATGCTCTCTCATCTGGCCCTTCGTTCAGAGGCGTCACACAGACCACACCAAGTGCTTTAGATGGGAAATGTGCATGTCATAGGGCGGTGGCGGCCCGCTCATTCTGCTCCTGCCCAGGGCGTCCCTCTGCTCTGCTCCTGTGCCCCCACGACTGTCTCCAGGAATGGTTTCAAAAGTGAAATAAGCCCTAGCTGGTTTGGCTCAATGGATAGAGCGTCAGCCTGCGGGCTGAAGGGTCCCAGGTTCAATTCCGGTCAGGGCACATGCCCGGGTTGCGGGCTTGATCCCCAGGAGGGAGCGTGCAGGAGGCAGCCAATCAATGATTCTCTCTCATCATTGATGTTTCTCTCTCTCTTCCTCTCCCTTCCTCTCTAAAATCAATAAAATATATATTTTTTAAAAAGTGAAATAAAAAGATGCCCCCCAGCCGGTATGGCTCAGTGGATAGAGCATCAGCCTCCGGACTGAAGGGTCCTGGGTTTGATTCCGGTCAAGGTCATGTACCTCGGTTTCAGGCTCGATCCCTGACCCTGGTTGGGGCACGTGCAGGAGGCAACCAATCAATGTGTGTCTCTCACATCGATGTTTCTCTCTCTGTCTCTCCCCTCCCTTCCACTCTGGCTAAAAATCAATGGAAAAATATCCTCTGGTGAGGATTAACCAAACATAAACAAAGTGGCCCTGACTGGTTTGGCTCAGTGGGTAGAGCGTCGGCCTGCAGACTCAAGGGTCCCAGGTTCGATTCCGGTCAAGGGCATGTACCTTGGTTGCGGGCACATCCCCAGTGGGGAGTGTACAGGAGGCAGCTGATCGATGTTTCTCTCTTATCGATGTTTCTGGCTCTCTATCCCTCTCCCCTCCTCTCTGTAAAAAAAATAAATAAATAAATAAATAAATAATAAAAAAAATTAAAAATAAAAAAAATCAATAAAAT